CGTTGGCTTCCCCTGGGCCTGGCAGAGCAGTTCCTGCAGCTGCCCAAAGGAAGCTGCTGCTGCCACTTACGTAGATCATCCAGGCTGCGTAACGCTCTTTGAGGTTGTACAGCACAGCGGGTTCGTGGAGGTGGGTCATCATGGCCATGTCCTCGATTTTGTCGTACTTGGGAGGGTTCATGGAGTAGATCTGATCATCCTTCACGGTCAGGGTCTGTCAGAGGAAGAAGGACATGAATGGATGTCAGCTAAGAACCCAGAGTGGGAAGAAGATGGTTTCCTTCAGCCTTGTTTTTCACTCACCTCTCCCCCTTCAGTCTTGACAGTGACTTTCCCTGATTCCCTGCTCTGAATTGTCCCTTTCACAAAGGATTCCTTTGCGTGTACCACAAAGACGGATGACTTGGCATCGAAAGGCTTGTTCTGGGCCTCGATTCTCTCCTTCTCTGACTTCCGCAGGTAAGGAGCTGCCTCCCCAAAAATGGCCATCTCAGAATCCGAAGACATGGCTGCACTTTATGGAGAGGCTTGTCAGCAGAGAACACTGTGGAAGAGCAGATATATTGCTCAATTTTGTCAAAAATAAGTAGTTTTTAGTAGGGGAAAAGAAACTACATTGATAGTCTTAATAGCTTTTTGGAAGGAATTGCATATTTTTTGCACTAGTGGGTTTCAATAGTTATGGAAAATGTGAAAATTGTATTTTGGGAGATTATTTGGCTTGTGCTGAAATCACATTTAAAATAACCCATAACTTAGTATTCGGTATTCAGGAACTCTAGTGTGGAATAAAGAATCTCAAAAATCCTTTCAACTGCTTAGGCACTCCTAAAATTAATTTGAAATTATTATAATGCTATTTTGTCCCAAGTGATACTAATTCACAAAGCTTAGAATGCTTATACTCCACTGTATGGAGTAGCATACTGAAAACTCATGATTCTTAGTGGCTTAGTTACAGTATTTAAAACATTTGTATAATTGTATTAATAATACAGTTCTTTGCTAATTTTATTGAGTTCTTTAATCCAGGCATAAACTGAAACATTCTGTCAAAAGAAGAGTAATACCTTTTCAGAACACACTGAGATACCTCTATTTCTAGTACTTCCTTTTGCTTTTTAAAACACAAAGTTTACAACACAAAGTTTCAAAGCTCAAATCAGGAATTTAAAAATAAGGTATTTTAAAGGCAGTATTAATTTCTCTGAACTTTTTCTTTCTCCCCCTGGTCCTTCTCTCTCACTCTGAGGAAAAAAAAGCAACCGGTGGGCAGCTTAGGAAAACATTTACATATCTCTTTCTGTATAGAGTTAGTACCTGATATTTACCCAATAATATTGTACTACATTTGTACTAAAATGAGAGAATAACAGGATATTTCTTTATTTGTGTCTGGAGAAACAGGTTGTGGCTTCCAGATGAGGAAAGCTGCAGCTTCCATTTTTGAGGCAGAGACCAGACAGAGCAGCACAGGGGACAAACAGCAGTGCTGTGTTTTACAGAGGTGACAATCAGATCTTGGTTGCTCATATTACAGCTCTTTCTACTCTTACTGCTTTAGTGACTCCATGGCAAATTTTGGACAAAAGATCATATTAATTCACATGTTCTGAGGCAAAATGTTGAATATTGTGCACTTTTCCTACTGTATTCTTCTTGGTCCAGTTCTACTGCTGCACCAGCAATGATGGGAAGGCAGTGCACATCACTCCCTGCTAGGGGAGATAGGCAGAAGTAAAGCATGTCTGCATGGGGTTTTCCTGGTCTGCCATGAGTAACCACAGACTTCAAACTCAGCCACCTTAAGAATGGACCAGGTGATCTTCTGAGGTCTGTTACAACCTGGGCTGTTCTATGATTCAGTGATTCCCTTGAAAACCTTACCAGTCTTACGCACCCACCATCCTCTACTACAGTGGATTTGAAAATATAGGGTGAAACAATGACCATTCACTCAGCCTGCCAGAAACCCCACCCAAAGGGATCTGTGTCTGCCCTCTAAGAATCAGTAAATCAGGTTCTTACCTCCTGTGACACCAGATGGGTGACCTGCAGGCTGGCAGCTGGTCAGTGCTGTAAAACAGAAATGGCAGTTCCCTCATTGCTGTGCACAGAAATCCAGAGGGAAAACGTGCAGATGCCTTGAGAGCAGGTTTGTAATGGAGCTTCCTCCTGGACACGAGCACTGGAGGCAGCAGGAATGTTGTGGCACACAAGGGCACCATCCCTTCCTGCCAGCCTGTAGATCCCCCTCACTTACCTTGGAGCTTTCCCTGGAGCCAGGGCAGACGTGTGGCGGGGACGTTTTATACGATCTCCTCTGCAGATGCTACAGATGCCTCCTCTTTCTTCGGTCAAAACATTTTTGGCAAACATTCTTTGGCTAAGCATTGTCTGGCAAACTGAACTAAGGGCATAATTGTCATTTGACATGACTAGATATAATTAGAAAATTTTGATGTCTTACTGGCTATATGAATACAGCTCCTATAAATAATGTGACAAGGGTGTTAAGGAGGGAATCTGGACTAGTCAAAGCACTTAGAGAACTTGGATTCAGGACTTATGGATTCTATTGCTGGCTTTCCCACCGACTCACTGTATGACCTCGGGTGGATTGCTTGGTATGTCTGTGCCTCAGCTATCCCAGCTGTACAATAGGAATGTCAGCTTTTATCTTCCCCTGTTGATGGTGTGAAGCTTGTAAGAAATGCCTAAGAGCAATACATTAGGCAGGCTACTAAGAGGGAAGTATTACCAAAAGCATTTGGCGGATATGCTGGTAAGATCCTGAAAGTAAGGGAGAAATCTGGGTCCTGCAGTGTGATAGTGCTGATGACTGAGAGTCATGTGCATGGCAAGATGGGACAAGGGACGAAGATTTGGTCACAGAAATAGGAAGGTGGGGTGTACCTCAGAGAGATATGAGGTCACTTGTGATACATGACGAAGAGCTTGTGTGCACACTCGGGCAGATATGCCCATCTGTGCACTTCAAATTGGAAAAGAAGTGGGAGATTCTCCAAAAAGGGTTGTTACAAATCTGTGCATGAATTCGTGCTAAGGGGACTGTCAGAAGATGCAGTGTGATCTCTGCTATGCAGATCAGTGCAGCTGAGCAAACCATGTTCCTCTTTTCTTAATGATGTTCTAATTCATCAGTACCCCTAATGGCAGCTCAGGAAAGTTGTTTCTTATGCCTTTAATCTGTATCATAAATAAAAGAAATCCTTCAGGTAAATATTTGGGCCTGTAGAAATCTATGCCATTGGAATGTTAATACCCCTTTTGAAAGGAATGGTTACAGCACATTACAGAATCTAGAAACAATAAATTTATCCTTTTTCCTGCAGGAATTTCTGCTCCTGCAGAATTCAAGAGCCTTTTCACCATCCCAGAGCTCAGCTCACACATGCAGAGAGCAACCTAGGTAGAGGCTTGCAGTCCTCAATTTATCCTTCAATACAAGGCACTTGACTCCAGTTCTGCTAATACAAATAAATCGCGGTCTCAGCTAAAAGCCTATCTTCCATCTGTGTGTCCCCACTCTCAAACTCACTAACCAGGAAGAAAACAAAGACCCCTTCAGCCCTTCCCTACCCACAACTCCCAGAAACCAATATTTTGCAGGCTGGCATTTTGCATATTGAAAGAGGCCAACGACACAGGACCCAAGTTAGAAAAAGAATGCATGACATACAAGGTAATAGAGAGCATCAGGCACTTCCTGTGCATGAGGAACCTGCTCCAAGAAGGGCTCTGACATCGCAGCACACACATTTTGGGTAGTGGGCCCCAACTCAGAACCCGAGTCTGTTTTGAACATATTCCATGTGGTCCAGTGCCCCAGAATGTTATTGGTCCTGGTTGAGAAGGGGACAGGAGCACCTCGTCATATCAGAACGTGGCTTTAAGAAGGCCACTGGATGACCAGGGATGGCCATGACCTCTCCAGGGTGTGAGAGCAGAGGTTGGGGAGGGAGCTCTGAACTCCCATTCCCAGAGAAGGTGTAATACAGAATCAAAGAGTCACAGAATGGTTTGGATTGGAAGAGACCCCAAAGATCATCCCTTTCCAGCTTCTTCTTCTCTTCCATGAGACTGGCAGGAACACCTTCTATACAGTCTTGCTCCAAGCCTCATCCAAACTGGCCTTGGACACTTTCAGGGATGCAGCTGCCACAGCTTCTCTGGGAAACCTGTGCCAGGGCCTGACCACCCTCACAGGGAGGAATTTCTTCCCCAAATGCCATCTAACCCTGCCTTCTGTCACTTTAAACCACTCCCCCTTGTCCTGTCACTCCAGGCCCTTGGCCAAAGTCCCTCTCCAGCTCTCTTGGAGCCCCTTTTGGCACTGGAAGGGGCTCTTAGTTCTCCGTGGAGCCTTCTCTTCTCCAGGCGGAACAGTCCCAGCTCTCTCAGCATGTCTTTGTAGTAGAGGGGTTCCAGATATCAGAGCACCTTTATGGCCTCCTCTGGACACATTCATGCATATCCACATTGTTCTTATATTGGGGGCCTCAGAACTGAATGCAGTATTCCAGGCGGGGGCAGAGGGCCAGAATCCACCCCTCCCTTGCCAGCACACACAGCTGGAGCATTTTGAGCTTCTCATCCAGTAACACTCCCAAGTCCTTCTCCTCAGGGCTGCTCTCAATCCATTCTCCACCCAGCCTGTACCTCTGCTTGGGAATGTCACAACCCACATGCAGGACTTGGCCATATTGGACTTTATAGAGTTCACATGGGCCCACCTAGTCAGTCTGTCCAGGTCCCTCTGGGTGACATCCCTTCCCTCCAGCATAGCGACCACACCATGCGGTTTGGTGCCACTGGCACACTTGCTGAGGGTGCCCTTGATCCCACTATTCCTGTTACCTACAGAGTTATTAAACAGCTCTGTTCCCAGTACTGACCCCTGAGGAATGCCACTCCTCTCTGATTTCCACTTGGACACAGACCTGTTGACAGCAAATCTTTGAGTGTGACCATAGCTTATCCACCAAGCAGTCCATCCTTCAAATCCATGTCTCTTCAGTTTAGAGACAAAGATGTCATTTGGGAAAGTGTCAAATGCTATGCACAAGTCCAGGTAGATGACATCAGTCACTGTCCCCTCATCAACCAAACATCTAACCCCATCATAGAAGGCTACTCCATTTGACAGGCATGATTTGCCCTTACCAAAGCCATGTTGGCTGTCAGCAATCACTTCCTTATTTTCAGTGTGCCTTAGCTTAGTTTCCAGGATGAGCTGCTCCATGATCTGCCAGGCACAGGGGTGACACTGAGTGAACTGTAGTTTCCCAGGTCTTCCTTAATTCCCTTTTTAAAAATGGGGATTATGTTTCCCCTTTGGCAGTCAGTGGGCAGCTATGACTTGGGTGTAATGGGTAGTGGTTTAGCCATTTCCTCTGCCAGTTCCTTTGGGACCTGTGGATGGATCTCATCAGGTCCTATGGACTTGTGCATTTTTAAGTTCCTTAAATCGTCTCAAACCACATCTTCTCCTACAAGGT